CTGGGAAATGGAAATGGGCAAAGGATTAATCAAGAAAATACTTTGGGCCTCCACTTACATGATTGTGTTCTCTGTTGCCAGAGCTGTTTCTCCTTGACAACCCTTCCCTGTTGACCTGCAGATTGTTGGGTTCATGACTAATGCTGGACCGCTGGTCAGAGGGAAATGCAAAGGAAGGGCTTGGCCATTCAGTGGCCCTCGTGACTAATGGGGAATCCATAGCAGACTGACAGGGCCCGAGCATCACAGGCAGGGGCCATTAATTGATCAGTAGCCACAGCAGATTACTCAAGGGAATTGCAATGTGTGTGTGTGTGTGTGTGTCAGGGATGTCCTCCCACTGACTCCTCCGGGTCAGGATCCTCCGTGTTCTGTCTTAACGGACGCTTCAACAGGGTTGTTTTCAGTGTAATGCAGATAAATCCATGCCCAAGTGTCAATGCAAAGTTTCTGGGAGAGAAAACCAGGTTGTGGGCAATAAGTTGTTGTCAGTGGTGAAATAGTGAGCGGACAGGCTCCACCGCTGTTTCTCGCAGCAGAATCACCCTTCAGCCAGCAGCACTACAATTCCTGGCAAATGTGTTTACTGAAGGAACGTCTGATTATACACCACATTAAGTCTCCAAAATAACACAACAAATCACGCCAGCTGAATGGCAAAGATGCTGCCAAAAGCGTTCCCACTCAATGAGAGAAGAATAATGACTGGCGGTGCTAAATAAGTCCTTACTCGCCTTGCATCATCTACATCACAAAACAACAAAAGGCCTAAGGACCCAGGTTCAACCGATCCATTGCAAGGCAGCTTAATCTGATGCCCGGCCAAACATGGCAGCTCTGAAACAAATCAGGACACCGTTTCTAGACTGTGAACAAGAAGACAGAGTCAGACTATCAGGGAGTAACCCTGCAATAAGTGAATCTGCAAGTTTGTGGATGCACTGCGAGAGACAGCACCAGAGTATTTTGCCGACTCGCCAAGAATAACAGCTGCAGAGGCCACATGGCAAAGATAGAGCAGTCACGGTGCCACAGTGAGACGCTGGCTTGCCAGGGGAAAACTGGCAGCAGGGAAGCAAAAAATGCTGTATTAGCTAAGTTTCTCTGTTTTTTCTTCACACATCCACAGCGTGGTTGGTGTGCTGAGTTCACGGCATGCTACGGATAACTGGCAAACACCCCTGACTCTTAGGGCAGGGTTCAAATGCCTGTTAAAGCTCGGATCTCTTTCCAAGGTGCTTCAATATCTGATTTGGTATTTGAAGAGTCTAGGAGATGTCATTGATTTTATGAAATTTAAATTTTAACCTGGTTCAAGACAGATTAGCCTTTTCCTGATGTTAATGCTGTATGGATGGTTCAAGAATCAGAACAGTTGCTACTTCTAATGCTCGAGTGTACAAGAACATCTGGAGCTTTCTCTAGCGAATAGTCATCAAGAGATTTCACTTTACACCCCAAATCTTAGCCAGATGGTGGTGTGATAGGAGAATTCAGAGGATGAACATCAACAAAAGCATGTTCCTCTTGAGATTATGAATGGCTCTACCAAATTTTATGGCAATCGGTTAAATTATGGTTGAGATATTTCCGCTTGAACCACAGTGTTTGACCAACACTTCCAAGATGTTAAAACCCCTGTGGACTGGATAACACTTTGCATGGGTGGCTGGTTCATTCCGATATCAGAGCTGTTGATAAACCTTACCCTTTTCTGGCAGGAACTGTGATATAAACTTGGAGATATAAATAAAAAATAATAGTAGAAGGGGACTTTAGCAACTTCGATGACACGTTCCTCTTTCCTTCATTGTGAATGGGAAATTTTCTATTACCAGTGGCAAACGAGCGGTCATCTAAATCAGCAGAGTTCAGGCAACTATTATGTTTTGGTATCAAGACAAACCTGTTCTCATCTGATCACAAACATAGACCCTGTGATGGTATTGTAACAAGGAGATGATGTACCAGGTATATTCTGCTCAATGGAAAACCGTGTCTGCAAGATGTAGCCCAAATTTTTACATTCATAAGACTAATATGCCTCAAATCTTCTTTTTGACCTTTGTATCAGTCCAAGCTGCTTAAAAGTAAAGTGGAAGTAACTGTCTTCCCTGTATCTTAAACAAACTTCAAAGGTATTAAAGGGATTTGTATTTTTTTTAATGGATTTGACACTTGATTCAGATTTACTTTTAGTCCCTAATCCTATTGTCTCAGGCTCCATTACTACTTACTCCAAATTTTTAAGGTGTCTACTTATGATGAGATGTATTTCCGAAGTACAAATATTACCTGAGACACATCAAACTAACTGTAACCAAAGTCCTTACACTCAACAAGTGTCATTGTGGAGTCATTTCTAAGCTTTTGTCACCTTTCTAAAGCAGAAAGAAATTTGGTAATGTTCAAGACGAGCCAAGAACAACCCCTTCCCATCTGTGTGACACAATTTGAAATGGAAATTTCCACTATATCTCTGCTACACAGATTTGTATTAGCCATTCATTGATAATATTAGATAAGATATAAGATATAACTTAATAATTTCCAAGACAAATTATTGTTCCAGGTTTACTCCAATAATTACAGTAAGAGCCTCAAATATAAGAGAAATACAAGATTTGTTAGATTTGTTGCCCGTGATTGCCACATTTATTCTGGGAATTTGTTCCCAGTTTCCTTCATTGGCCAAGGTGTGATTTCTGAATCACGTAGACAAGAAGCAGGACAAAACCACTGGAGAGCCTGCAAATTAAAGCTTTGACACCTGAGGAGGGATGGAGGAAGTAAGGGTCAGTGACGGGAAATGTGAAAAAAGGGATTTGAAAAAACAAGGTGGGAGGGTAAGAGAAAACCTGACTGTCCTTCCGTTCATATTCCACAATGTATGCATAAATATTGCAAATGTAATTCTCACAAGGACTATAAGCATTATTATATTATACAGAGCAGTGACAATATTAAGACAGACAAAGATAGAATCAACTCCTAGGGCAGGAGTACTTGGGAAGAGGATTCATCATGTTTGCGGTTCAGCGCAGAACTCTCTCCTCTGCGCTCCCTCCATCGCTCCCCAACAAGAGAGACTGTGATGCCTCTACAGAGTCACCGCTAGTGGCACAAATCAAATTCAATTAAATGATTTTCAATAAGAAAAAAAGAAAAAGGGCCGCCTCTTATCAACCGCGCTCATTTGCACACACTGACCTTGGTAGCGCGCTAGGCATTAGCATTCTCAGAGCTAGAGGGGTAAGAAGCGAGGATGGGGAGAATCAACACTGCGGGTGGTGGGTAGGGGAGACAAAAGGAGTGGAAGGCAGGAAGCAGAAGGAGAGACTTTGAGAGAGGAAATAAATGAGACACGGAGGGAGGGAGAGAGAGAGAGAGAGGGAAATAGAGAGAGGCTCAATTAAAGAAACAGAGTTAAAAGAGGCACCTTCTTGACGAAACTGCCGACAAAGTGTGATCGGTCATTATCTTTTGTGTGACAACGACCTCTTCTGATTCATACTTGTAGGCTCCTCAATGCATACACCCATCTCCACATCTCTTTTTGACCTTTATCCATAATGACTTTCAAGAAGCTATAGCGACTTCCACGACGAGACAGAACGAATATAGAGTCGAAGCAACCGGTGTACCCACATCCTGTCTGCAGCCTTCAAGCTCCTCCGTCGGTTCTTGCCGCCTCTCTCATTGTCATTCTAGGTCAGAGTATGATTACTGATGATGAGGAGCTGATAAGAAAGATTCACTCTAACCAAGGGCAAGGTCACCTCCCACTGCGAAGAAATGCAGATGTGATGAGATGGGGATGAGTGCCATTCAAACACACACACACACACACACACTTGGGCAAGTGCACAAGCAGAACGTCTTCCAGAGATGTGTGCATGACAAACAACGTGTGTACATGCATCAAAAAAGTAAATCATTAAAAGAGAAGCAGAGACACGATCACCTTGACTGGAGATTTACACGATGAAGCAGCTACAATATCAATATGCAAATGTCAAGAAGATTGCATGACGCCTTGAATGGCTCAACAGGAATGGATTTGTCTCGTGTTGTGTCACTTGGCATGGTTACAGATGGTTTTTATGTCCGCAAGAGGCTCATACCTCAAGGCTACGACCACAACACAATGAAAACATGCAGTGTCCTTGATCAGGTTGTAATGTGGGTAATGCAGGCACAGCAGGTTTTTGACGCGCAAGAAGAATAAATGGGAATAAAGATGGCAATATTTTTCAGTTCAGCTGGATCAATTTGATCCTGTCTTGTTGGTCAAAGTTTAATCATTAGAGTTCATCTAATTATATCAGTACATTTGAAGATTCCTTCAACAAAAACAAAAGGAAACACAAAACCAATCCCATGCAAACAAAGATAAAAAAATGGCCACAACTCGATTTTTTGGGCAAAATAACAAATCAGAGAGAGAAAATATAATTCCAAATCCACCTAGCCATTAACACATTTCTTTAGTGAATGAGATGCAAAAAGCAAAACAACAATCCCATTTCAGGCTGTCAGCAGCTCCAGCTCTCGTTTGGCCCGACTGCGTTCTGGAGGTGTCGCAAAAATAACACCACTAACTGGCTGGCAGAATATTGATCACCCCAGAACAAAAAGTAAATAAATCACACATCCTATTTTGGGACCAAAATGAAAAGAGACAGAGCCAAAGATCAGATACAAAGAAGTTCCAGGTTGGGTTTTTTTTTGTTAAAGGATCATTTCATTTCACGCTCTGCCAAATGCTTTGGTTTTGGACCTTGTTCAGCAGGAGACACTCAAAGAACTCTTTAGTGCAAAACACAGCAAGATGAAAGATAAAACGACAGCTGGGAACAAAAAAAAGAAACTCTCAAAGACGTCCCTGGATCAGACAAAGCAGCTAAAAAAAAAATTAACGGTATCAAAGTAAAAAAAAGCAGGAGAATCCACAGAAAAAACTAAAAAGCACCAAACGAGCGGGAAAATAAAAGACTCACATGCGACTGCTGGGTGGTATCTTGCGGCCGTCTCTGTACCAGGTGACCTGAGGTTGGGGGAAGCTGCGAATGCGTGGCGCCTGGATGACTGCGCCCTCTCCTTGAGAGACCGACTCGGAGCGTTCACCTTCTTCGAAACTGCCCATAACTACAGGAAAGAGACACACACACACACACACAAACAGAAAACACAAAGGAGAGAGATTCAGAAAAGAAAAGACAAATGTGAAGACAAAGGCGCAATTTTTTCCCTTTTTTATTTTTTTTTTTTTTACTTCATTCTGACTTTTGTTCCCCGCAGTTCTTTTTCCATCTGTTTTCTGTTGTGCAATGTGACAATGAGCGCCTTTGATGGACAGCACTGTGTTGTTGCCATGGTTTACAAAGTACAGGAAAGGAGCGAGAAAGGAACCGAGATGTAATGCCTCACAGAGGGACACTAAATTGACTCATATTCATTTTGCGTCTCCTTCTGTGTGGATGCACGGAGGGCAATCAATCTCGATCACTCTCTGAATGTGCGCATTACTCAACATGCTGGATGACCGGAGCTGCCACTTTCCTATTATCTCCTAATACATTTCATTTGTTACGGCACTTTTTTTATTCCTCCTGTGCCTCTTTATGTCTTTAAAGCTGACAACAACGCTGCATTAATATCCCCCGCTCCGTGGTCAGTACATTTGTAAGTGAGATCTATGGGCAGGTTTTTTTTGGGGGGTAATTTGATGGATTTTTGCGCCGATTGTCCCTTACTTCAATTGTTGTTTTTTTTTCGATCTCAGCTGTGCAATTCCCCTCTGTAATCATATTGGCTGATGCTGACGGTAAACCTTTATGTGATAGCGGTAACAAGCAGACTTTTGTATTTTCCTCCTCCAACGCAGTCTGGCAGACAAAGTGCAGACTTTGGTTTTGAAGATGTGAGAGTGAAGAGATTGTCATTTTGTCTCCCAGAGAACTGGAAAGGAGGTTGTAATTGTAACTTTAATTCAAGGGGAAACAAAGAAATCTCAACATCAAACACTTAATTTAGCGCTAACACAGCCTAGCAATGATGATATCTTTGGAAAAAAACGTGGGGGATCAAGGTATGCGGGCTATGAACTGTGGATGTAGGAATGGTTGTGCATCGATGGCACATCTTATTTTTCTCTCTCGCTCTCTTTCAAAGGGAATCAAAAAAAAAGGTAATCTGGCTTTGCCATAGAGCTGAGGTGCTTAGCTTAAATGAAAATCTGGGAAGTGTGCAAATCCCGACTTTGATCTGCGGTTTCGGTTGCTGTGATGTCCTCCTCCCACTGTCTAAACTCTAATGCCTCGGCATGTTTCCCTTTCTCCGAGGTGTGTCTCTGCAATCCTAATTGTACCGCCTCAATAGGAGAGCTTTCGCAAAAGAGATCTCCACATCTCTTTCCCCTCCCTCCTGTGTCTGCCTCATCCATTTCTCCAGTGGTTGTCCTTAATTCCCCCCTTTTTCTCGACTCTGCATCACTGTCTGTACCCATTCACGAGCGACTGATGAGGGGGGGAGAGGAGAATTATGGAAATGGGAAGAGGTGGGAAAAAAAAAAACACGAAAATGGAAAGCAGTGGGTTTCAAGCCAAGAAATAAATAGGAAGCAGAGTTGGCCAAAAAAAATGGACGGAGGGAAAGGGGGGGGGGGCAGCAAAATAAAAGACACAGTGAAGGGAGACAGGACTGCTTTATAGCTGAACAAACGTTAGTTGAAAGTATCTTAATCGTCCAAAATGTCATTGGTCAGGTGGTTGCAGTGAAAATTATTTTATTTATATATTATTCATTTATTCAACCAGGAATATTCCAATTGATTGTGCGTCTGTTTTAAATGTACTAATAAGGACTTGTCACTACAAGATATCAGGACAATTTTTTGGCCTGATTTCCCTCCCACTGACAAATGTTATCAAAGACTCAATTTTTTAAAGGTTCTCAAGATTATCTTTCCAGATTTTCCTGGTGTGTGAGGTGTGTTAAGAGTGATCCAATCTCCTTGGAAGAGCATTGTTGTCGATGCACCGATTCCGGTTTTTCCGATTCCGATATCCGGTTGTTTTGGGAGAGCAAGCCCAAGGACGGCAAAGCATGATTTCTGTAGATTGTAACATGGAACACATTAATAGCCAATTGGGAAGCAAGCTAACTGAAGAAGGAAGCACTCCGGGTTGACCATATTCCCATTCCCAGAATTATAAAAGTTAGAGAAGTGTACAGATTCTGTGGTGTATGTTCATAACTCTACACACAAACTGTCCTCAGAAGAAAAACTGGTCCCTCAAAAAATGTCTGAAGATGAAATGCTACGGGAGAAGGTATAGTGGTGGGCCCGCAACAGTGAAAACCGTAACTCTCTTGGTAGCTTTCTAGCTCCAGTGTTCAAGGGAGACATTTTTTCCTTCGAATAAAGTTTATGTATTAAGTTCAGAAAATATAGCATAGACTTGTTTCACTTCTCCAACTTTCCAATTTCACTAACAAATCTCCATCGTGCACATTAAGTGTGTATTGTTCTTACTGCGTTAAGAAAGCACCTGTTTTATTCGTTTGTTGTTTACCTAGTTAGCAGCTACTAGCCTAGCTAAAGCCAAGGGAATCACCTTCAAAGAAAGCAGAGGTCTCCTAACTACCTTTTTCAGGGGACCAAATAAGTTATTTAATAGTGTTACATTAATGCTCAGTGTTTATGAATGTTGTTTTTTTTTTTTTTTACAAATTTAGAATCATAAATGTTACCGCTTTGGCTGTTAGCACTGTCGTTAGCTAATGATTTGAGATGTTTATGTTGTAGCCCCTTACCTACAACCATTTTTTTCCCCCAATCTCCCCAAAAATTTATTAAAAAGTATTTGAAATGTCATCCTAAGTGTGCAACAACTATTCTTAGAGTGGTGGACGACGAGTGGTTTCATCAGCCAAACTAAAGATGACTAGTAAACGAGGAACATTTTTAGATTGCGGCGCTCCCTGGAGGGACAAGACGCAGAAGGAGTGCATAACGAAGATGACTGCTGTGATTGTTAGGGCCCTCTCCGTCTCTTCCTCTCGCTCACGCCTGGTTGGCTGCATTGTTCAGTCAGGTAAAGTGCTGTGTCACATCCACTCAAATGTCGCTGGAACAAGGGGGAAACCCAGTGAACCTGGCACACCCTGAGAAAGGCAGGATAATGGGCGTGGGATGGTTGTGACTATTGAGGAAAGGGGGAGGTTGGATGGGGGGCGGGGGTGGATTTGAGGTAACAACACTCCAGACACCGCTGCGTCACGTCAGTAAATAGCTTGTTAACAAGATGAGGGGGAGCCAGAAAGTGGCATTGGATTTTTAATTTTAATTTATTTTATTTTTTTTACAGGAATGCGTCTCGTTTGAGCGCCGTGTTTCGCCGTGAAAACGACAGATGTTGTTGACAAAGGAGCGAGGGGAGAAGGAAATAAGCGGCGGTCATACTGAAACGAAGCAAAGTTAAAAACAACCACGGCGACAATATTAATCTGATGAGAATGCTGAGTGGAACAGCTGTCGGGGGGTTGATAACACCCTGAATGATATGCAGGTAGATCTTTCACCCAGCCGGCATCTGTCCCCTCCCCAGTCAGTCCTTGATGCAAAGGCAAGCAGAGTGTGGACTTACTGTGTACTCTGCAGGCAGTCAAACACACACAAACAATACACACACTCTCTCTCTCTCTCTCTCTGTATCCATTTATACAACCACTGGGTCTGTTCATCTGTGTTTCACCTGCGTCCCCGTGCATGATACTTACAGGCCACCTGTACTTCTGTGCGCCTCTGCAGAAGGGCCCCCACCCGATTCCTCACGATGCAGCGGTAGAAGCCAGCATGGGAGCGGTCCAACGAAGGGATTAGGTACCTTTTAATAAGCACAGACACACACACAAACACAAACACACACAAGGCAGGGATGAGAATTCTCTTAAATCACAGTAAACTAATTAAGACAAAAGGTAGGAATCAAAGGTAGGCTAACATGCTGACAAGGAATACACACTTATACACACACACACACACACACACAACACACACACACACATATACACACACATATACACACACCTAAGACCATCTAATAGCGCAACAAGGGCACAGAGGACGTCGGAGCTTAGCTGTTGTTTATTCCAACAATAATGATGCTCGAGAGGTTAAAGGAGCTACCACAACCTAGCTCTCTCCCAGGACACACACACACCACACACACACACACACACACACTTACACAATGACATGCACACACAACAAACACTTGTATTGGGATGTCTTCTATGCAAACACACACACACACACTCGTGCTCTAAATCCCCCTGGGACAAAGGTTGAAGCCGTATGTCTCCAGCAGCTGACACTCTCCTCATGACCTTGACTTTAGAGTCTAGCTCTGGCGGCAGTACCGCCTCCCCGCCAGCTGGAGGCAGTGTTACATGTCCTTTTAAAAAAAAAAAAGCTGCTGTGTGGAGTGTGGCCTAACAATTGGCTTGATGTATGTTGTATCTTGAGCCACATCTGGTGTTACAGCTGATGCCAGAAGATTAAGTGGCGAGTGATGATGCTGGCTCTCATTTATTTTGCAAACACTTTAGGAAGGCTATAATTCAAACTCGTCGTGGCAATGAGCCAGAGACACACTGTAAATCAGAGTTAAGAAAAAAATATGACTATTACACGGCTCATACAGGCAACAACACACTTTTAAAATAACAAATACACACAGAAAGAAGCACAATTAAGGATGGGAATATGTGCTTTAACTTCATTTATCATATTAGTAAAGCTGCCAAAATCTAGTTAATCTATTAATCTAGTGGTTTATCAAAAGAAGATTGATTGTGAGCTATTTTAATAACAGATAAACCATTTCATTCATTTTTCAGGCAAAAGTGTCAAATGTTTGCTGGTCCCAGTTTCTTAAAGGGATAGTTTGGTATTTTTAGAATGGGTTGGTATGAGGTACTTTCAATAGTAGGTGAATTAGCCACAGGAGATGGGGTCCAGCATGGCCCCTTAAAGGAGAGAACGGGGTCCAGAGAGTTGTTTTTCTTGTCATTTATACAGTAGAGGAAAAAAGTACACAACTTCATGACTTGAGTCAAAGTATACATCCTCCTGGTCAAATATCACTCCAATACAAGTAGAAGTTGCTTAGTCATTTCTTGAGTTACTGGAGTACTTTCTTTTAAAAATTGATGAGACAAATTCAAATTACTTTGAAAAAAAAAAATCTCAAAATGTTCTATTATTCTCAAAATGCACGAGAGCAGCATACCCATCACTCCCATTCACACGCTTATGGCAGAGGCTGCTATGAAAAGTGTCAAACACAAGTAACTAATCCCATTCATACACATTCACACGCCTCCAATGAAGAAGCAGGAGCAACTTGGGGTTAAGTGTCTTGACCAAGGACACATGGGACATGTAGCTGCAGGAGCTGGGAAAAAATCTCAAAATGTTCTATTATTCTCAAAATGCACGAGAGCAGCATACCCATCACTCCCATTCACACGCTTATGGCAGAGGCTGCTATGAAAAGTGTCAAACACAAGTAACTAATCCCATTCATACACATTCACACGCCTCCAATGAAGAAGCAGGAGCAACTTGGGGTTAAGTGTCTTGACCAAGGACACATGGGACATGTAGCTGCAGGAGCTGGGGATCAAACCCCCCTAAACTTCCTGTTGAGACCCCAAAACTTGCTGCCAATGTTGGGGTGTTAAATTTGGGGTTCAATGTAAAAGTAAATGGTAAATGGACTTGAGCTTGTATAGCGCTTTTTTTGGTCTTCTGACTACTCAAAGCACTTTAAAAAAAATAACTAATCCCATTCACACACATTCATACACCGAGGGCGAAGCAGCGGGGGCAACTATAGGGCTTCAGTGTCTTGCCCAAGGACACATCGGACATGTGGCTGCAGGAGCTGGGGATCGAACCCTGGACCTTCTGGTTGAGAGATGACTGACTCTACCGACTGAGCCACAGCATCCCCTGTACAAAGGTGGAGTGAGGTGGGGAGATTTGTTACAGATTGCTGTGATGGAATCTCAATGTTAAAAGGGATAAAGAGGCGATCAATTTTGTTTCAAGCACATCTCTCTTCGATATTTACTGTACTGGTGGGATATCTGTCCATGACCTCAACAGCTCCATGCAGCCACTATGAATTCTGCCTGTTTTTGGTCTTTCAAGTAATTCATTTTCAGAGATCAGTCATCTGGGCAGCTCCGTTTAGCTCAGCATGCCAGGGCATCAACATTTTAACTGCTTTCCAATAACTAATAAATGATGGAGCGGTGGGAGATGTATGGAGCGGCCAACTGTTAAAAGTGGTTGCATAGACAGTCTCTAAACGGCCTGTTTGATGGCGAACGTTGTGAACAGAACTAACAGCGACTTGTACATGTTTAATGTGAGTCCCTCAAGCAACAACGCATTCTCGTCAAAACAAATACTTCTTGTGGGAGGTGAAACAGTCGCCACCAGGAAACGTGTTGGCCATCTTTGCTGTCACATTCCCCGCGTGATTATGTGCCTGAGCGTGCTCAGCGCGCTGCCGAGGCAGAGTGTCTGAGCGTAACCCCGCCAGTGACAGGAGGTCCCGGTTTCTATGGTAACCACTTGCAATTTGTGGGAAAGTTTTCTGTGAGTTAACCTTTTGTTTAAAGAGTTTGAGTTCTTGTTTATAAGGAGCTCGAGTATAATGAAAGAGAAGTGAGACGGAGCCGTCCCAAAGTTCTCGAGTGCTTTCAACAAGCTGTTAGCAGGAACGTCTGGATACTCGGAGTTCAAAAACGAGGACTGTTGAGTCACAATAAGAAGCCCTCGTCAAAGCGATTCCTCTGAAATAAGCAGAAACAAGAACCACATTTGCCTTTTTTTCCCTGCAGTCGCATAAATGCACATCAGCAGAGTCTTGGAAAAGTCAGACAAAAAGTTTTTTTTTTCCAACTGCCAAAAGCCAAAGAGAAAGGAAGAAGTCAAACGATACTTTCTAAGAAGCGATGAAAAATTAACTAACCAAACACTGAATTAAACCACATATCAAATCTAAATATTTTAACATACCCGTCCGGGGAGAGCCGAGATATCTTTTGAACTCCTTGTGATTTTGATCAGGCAAAAGAAAAAAAAAAATCTTCCTTTTAAGTAAGTTCAGACATCTTTGCCTTTGGGGACGTTCAGGGTAATGTTGCTTAAATTTCTCTGATAGATGATCAAATATAAAACACCCAAAGTCAGGAATGAAAAGGAGGAAAAGCTGACTGTTAATCCACGAGAACTTCGATGCGCTGTGGCAGAGATTCAACAACAAGCGTCTGAACTGGATGGCAAACACAACTCTTTCAAAGGATATTCCATCATTTGGTATTCAGATAAGAACATCACAAAATGCAAAAAAACACCAATGTATGCTTGATGAACTTAGTGACCCCTTGAAGTCAAAAGAACAAATGAGATGCTGGTGCATACATGAGTGTTTTCTGCTTATTTTAAAGATCACATATTATGCAAAATACACTTTACCATGGTTTGTCTAACCAGTGATGATTCTAGGGTTTGAGGCACTTCTGTGATTTAAGGTTTTGTCAGTCCTTGGGGGCCCACTACTGGCCAGGGGCCCCAAACAGTTGCCTGCCTTGCCTATTGACAAGCAGCGCCTCAGCAGTGTCTAACACCCAATTTCCACATACTCATTGCACACCGCGGTCCGTCAGCGCAACTACGCCTAAGTTTTGCTGCCACTCTAGTCAATTATTGAGTTTCCACAGCGAGCGCCAAGTGTCTATTTTCGACAGAGTACGCATGCATCAAGTTGGACAGAATATGACAACTCGGACAGGAAGTCAGACAAGGAAACGCACAGAGCGTCCGGTCAATTTCAAAATAAAACACAATATACGGACTCACGATCGTATCTTTAATCACTCTGGCAACATTACATCAAAACCAGCATCAAAATAACTAACAAAACATCATCAGAAAGATGATCTCCGCTGTTCTCCGTATTCCCGTGTGATCTCGTAGTTCTGCTCATGGCTGCGCTCACGTTCCAGAAACAGAGGGCAGGCCGTACAACAGAGCAAAACCTTGACACTGACCATCTGCGGCGCACATGGAGTCTTTAGGGATCGGGGCGGTAAGTGTGTTTCAAAAGCTGCTAATATCTGTACTAAAAAAAAAAAAGAGAAGCATTATCAAACCTCATTAGCGGCAGCGTCAGTTCAGACCCAAAGGACTAAATGAGTTTTAGCCCTAAAGTCTGTTAAGGCTTAATCAACTAATCAGGAGGCGTTATTAATGATGTGTGACTCCCTTCATATGTTCCATCATCTAAATTAATACAATTACGTACATGTGATGTGCATAAATGGAAGGGAGATGAGGCGCGTATGATGGAATATGGTCGATGATTTGCGCCTCAGACTTTGGATGGAGACGAGGCCGAGAGCTGACAGGTGGTGTCGCTGCTCCAAGTTTAACCCTGCAAGAGGCCTGCGGAGGATTCTCCGAGCAGCCAGAACCTTCAGGGTGACTTTAGACAAGTCTCTCCCCCTCTCTCTCTCTCTCTCTCTCTCTCTCGCTCTGTCTGTCTCCCTCTTTCACTCTGTCCCTTATATAATGAATACAATTAACCTTTGCGGAGCTGAGCGCGTTGGCAGCAGGTTGGGGGAGTCAGTGGGGGCCCGGCTGTGTCGGACAGAGATTGATTGATGTTCCTGTGGTCAGCGCACTCCGTCAGATCCCCTTTAATTAGCCCCGCTTTGGAGAAATGAGTAGACGGAGGAATGGCAGGGAGACGGGAGAGAGAGCGAGGGACATGAGGAAGAGGGAGGACTAGGGTGTGAAGCGGGTCAG